CAGACGTACAAATAACATCCCGGACAGAGATTTATATATGGTCCATGCATGGATCAGACCCATATTAAGTCTCAGTGAGAGGTGAGATGGGTATTGAGGGATTTTGCCAGATTGTAAAATTAGTTCAACTACATGCAACAGCATGGTCTGTCAGCCACAAAAAGTACAAAAGAAGCTTCTATGAAGTCCAATGTTCATGCATGATAATTTGTATCAGGTGTTCTAGCGAGTTTAATCAACATCTTGATTGTGGACATTATCCGGCAGAAGCAGAAGTAAACCTCAAACTCAATATATTCCATAATGAATTAGAATTTAATATTGGTGCATTTCACTCAATACTGATGCTGTTATCTTGCAGTGAAAATATGGGACCATAATATTATAATGAGCATTTTATAATCAGTACACGAGTGGTGTATTCTATGGTTTCAGGCACCATGTGTAATGAACAAAGAAAAACATATCCTGAAAGACAATGTGGAAGTAATAAGTAATGGCGGATTCACAAATGACCAAACTATAATAATAATAAAAACAAATCGTGTAGAATGAAGGAAGCAGGTGTAAATGACTGTCGTTCAATTTAAACTGCTCACATATTTCACTGAACATAATTGATTAGAATAATTAGCAATAAATTTTTAGATAACTGTATATAAAATGATTTATTTATATATTCTTATATAATAATATGTGGTTTAGATCAATTTTCATCCATTTTAAGGTTCCAAAGAATAGAGCCATACACCCTTTAAGCTTACCCTGCCTTGTGGACTATGAACAACTGATATCAATATAAGTAATTCACATGTAACAGCAAAGCATAGGCCTAGCTACTATTAGAGTACAGATTATGTTATGGCCAGATCGTAAATTTGAAACAAATATCCCAGAGATATGTTCAATGATTTCTGATTACTAACAGCTAAAGTTAGTGCTCCTACGGTTAGGACTTTTTATATACGCCCACATTTTCACAGATAACTTCCTGAATTATGGCCCTTAATATATGAAAAATCACATTTTTAACTTATGTTCCCTCTAGAGGTCACAGTTTTTATTTGATTTGATAAAATGTTTGAATATATCACCGTTACACCCTAATGAAGGTTGAGGAAGAATTTCATGAAAATCGGACCAAAACTGCCGGACAAAATGGCCATCCCTTGTACGCAAATAGTGTAATTATATAGTATATCAAGGTTGTGGACCCTCTAGAGGCCACAATTTTGATCCGATTTTGATGAAACTTGAAACCCATGTTTATAACCTAAAGATCTTGGTTCCTTTTGATATTCGCGCATATCAGACCTTAACTTCCTGAATTATGACCCTTGATTGTACGTTTTTAACTTGTAGTCCCTTTAGGGGTCACATTTTTTATCCAATTTAAAAAAACATTAGTTCATATCACCATTACACCCTAATAATGGTTGAGTAAGAATTTTGTGAAAATCTGACCAAAATGGCCGTCCCTTGTATGCAAATAGCGTAAATATAGGGTGTGTCAAGGTTGTGGACCCACTAGAGTCCACAATTTTGATCCGATTTTGATGAAACTTTATATTTTTGTTTATATCACAAAGATCTTGGTTCCTTTCAATATCGCGCATATCTGAACGTAACTTCCTGGAATATGGCCCCCGATTGTTCGAAAAACCTCATTTTTAGCTTGTGGACAGGCTAGAAGTCACAACTTGTATTGTTTTTTAAAAAACGTTTAAATATATCACTGTTGCACATCAATGAAGGTTGAGTTCGAGTTCTGTGAAAATCTGATCTAAACTGACAGAGAAAATGGTCGGTCCTTATACGCAAGTAGTGTAAATGTATGTAATACCAAGGTTGTGGACACTATAGAAGTCACAATTTTGATCCGATTTTGATGAAACTTGAAACATATGATTATAATCCAAAGATCTTGGTTCCTTTCGATATTTGCGCATATCGGACTATAACTGCCTGGATTATGACCCCTGATTGTACGAAATATCACATTTTTAGCTTGTGGACCCTCTAGAGATCACAATTTTTATCTGATTTTGAAAAAAACATTTAAATGTGTCACCGTTACACCCTAATGACGGATGAGTTTGAATTTTGTGACAATTGCATCAAAGTTGCCTTTCTGCAAATAGAGTAAAAGTATGTAATACGAAGGTTGTGGACTCTCTAGAAGTCAAAATTTTTATCTGATTTTGATGAAACTGAAAACATATCCCAAAATTACTGGATTATGGCCCCTGTTTGTACAAAAAATCACTTTTTTTAAGCTTGTTCTCTGTCCATCTCTTGCAAAATGTGGGCGTATGTCCTAAGGAGATATCGCAGTAGATTATGAAATTGATCACACAAGCGATATATCTACTATAGAATGTGTTATTGGGTGATAAACTACAAGGTCACTTTCTAGCCTTTATGATTATATTTTGAATGGTAGTTACAATTTTAAATAAATATTAAACAAAGTAGAATATAGAAATGCCGAGAAGTACTTGGATTGGATTAACAATAGCAAAAGTCAGAACAAGGTCCGTTGACCTTGCCGTTCGACTACGAGTGCTGTTAATAGTATTACTTTTTCGCAGTTGACATCGTAGGGCAACAATTACATTCTAAGATTTTCAAACATTCTAAGATTTTCAAACATCAAATACAAAAGGACAACGGGCAACTTTTATTATAAAGAGGAATATAATTTGAAACATCTCCGAATAACTGTACCGTTCAATTTGAACTGTTTATCCATCCGATTATAAACATTTACGGTTATCCATAGGAGCACTAGCTAAAATTGTTATCTGTTGCCTTTGATCACTTCAATCACCAGTTCAAAAATAATAATGTGCCAACCTTTAATGACTGCTCTTATGACATGGCTATTGTCTGCATTTTTTTTTCATTTGCTAGCAACCTTTGCTCGAGACAGAGAGAATAAATAAGTGCTAAAAATGTAGGATATAAGAAAAGTGTTTCATCTAAGTTATCTTAATAGAACATTGTCTTTAGATTTGATATAGTTTTAAACGATACTCCTTCTTGTTGTCCCTGTAAGTAACCAATCAAGACATAGACCAGAGATTTTGATAAAGATTTACCATCGAATGTACAGCTTTTATAAACTTACTGATGATGAGGTCTGTTTCATGTACTAAAAGCCTTATATTGTTAGTTGGATCATTTAACAGTGAATTACGAGATAGTTTGGGTGTCTGTAACCATTTGCTTCACAGATCGTTTTTTAGATTTAACAAATGAGAAAATAAATTGTTAATCACAAGAATGTAATCATATTAAGGGGCCCCCAAATTAGTACATTTTTTTTTATTTACCATGAATAGATATTTCATTATTTTATATTATTATGTCTGTGCTAAATAAATCTATCTAACGTCCATACTGAAATACAAATTGCATTTGTTTGACTGTAAAGGTCAATGACCAGAACATGCCCCCTTTTCAATGTTGATGTAAGAGTCTCAGTAACATTTTCAGCCTGGGGCCCCCTTGCAACTTAACTTGGTTATGTATTCATCAAATTGCTCGTTGACACAAGAAAGACTAAACTTATCAAACGATTTACTTAGATTTACAAACAGGTTTTATTTTCAAGAGATTTATAAACAGGTTTTATCTTCAAGAAATTTACGTTTTCCTCTGGTTACTTTCACAATATTGTGGACCCTCTTTTGGCTAAAGTTGTCATCCAATTGACTTATATTTTACATTCATTGTATGGACCATGTTTTGTTTTTACAAAGATGATGCCCTTGATCACTTCAAACATTCTTGTGGACCCACTATAATGGCTAAAGTTATAGCCCAATTGCTTTGAAATTGATACACAGTTTTTATGTTTATGAGAAAAAAACACTATTGATTTTCAACAATTGCTAATAATTAATGTCAAGAGTTTCTGCCCATGATTGTTTTGGGCCTCAAAAAGATAAGGTTATCATCCGATTGATTTAAAATTTATATGCAGTGTGTTTATGTTCATGAGAGGTAAAAGTCTATTGATTTTCAATGATTTCCAGCTAAAATTATTATTTGATTTCTAGTTCATGTTTTGTTAATATTCCTGATAATTGCTTTTTAGTGTCATGTAAAAGCTTCCATTGCCTACAAAAAAAATAAAATTTAACAATCGGCTACCTGTTGTGGATGTATGTTTTGTCGCCTGGCAACCAAGCTTCCAGATACACAACTGTTTTCTTCTGTAATCTGAAATATTTATATAAATGTTTACAGTATGCCATATGTTTGACTCAAAATTACCTAGTTATGCTGACTATGATTTAAAATAACTTAGTTGTGCTGACTAGAACTTAGAATGACCTAGTCAGGTTGACTAGCATTTTAAATGACCTAGTCAGGTTGACTAGAACTTGAAATGACCTAGTTGTGCAGACTAGAACTTAAAATTATATAGTTGTGCTGACTTAAACTTAAAATGACCTGGTTCTGCTGATTAGAACTTAAAATGACCTAGTTGTACTGACTAGAACTTAAAATGACCTAGAACTAGAATTTTAAATGACCTAGTTTTGCTGACTAGAACTTAAAATGACTAAGATGTGCTGACTAGAACTTAACTGACAAAGATGTGCAGACTAAAACATATGATAATCCAGTTGTGAAAAATGTTTGAATTTTGCAAAATAAAAACATGGCGTGTCAAACGGCATACAATCGTAGACAGAGACTAGTCATAAACACACAGACTGACTCAAACTACATAAAGAAAAACACAGCTATGAACTTATCAGTAGACACCAGTGAATACTCTATTGGGATCATGTGGTTTTTCACATTTTCTTAGTGTGCCATTCTAGATTCTGTGGCACACTGGTTGAGAATCACTGACTTAGAGTGATCTAGTTGGGCCGACAGAACTGAAACTGATGTTGTCCTGACTAGAACCTACAGTGACCAAAAAATTTATTTTGCTATTCTGAATATTATGAAGAAAATAAACATTAATATTTTTGTTTCAGGGTAAAGCACGCACAGGTTTCTTTAAACAAGCTAAGAAAGCCTATCCCATGTTTCACTTCCACGAAGAAAAGATACGCTGGGACGAATACGGTGAAATAATCAAGTAAATTGAAATTTTATGATCAAAAATGTAACCTATTTGATAAGTCATATGTTGACATACAGAAAAATATTATGTGCTCTCTGCCATGGAAGACAATTTTAAAGATGGGTTCCCAGGAAAGTATTTATCGGGTGGTTATTTCCAATAAAAGTATGGCAAGTTTGGTATATATGGAAAGTAGAGATATCCAATGTTACTAGAAAAATACTGGATTCCCCGAATCATGGAGCGTATACAGGACAAAAATGTAAGGGTTCCCCAAATCAACAGCCCGACGATTAGGAACTTCTGCACGCTTGATGTCAAAGGTCACAAGTGAACATTGAGCGTTTGATGTACAAGTTGATAAACTTTATGAAAAGTTAGACGTACAATACTTTCTGAGATAAAAAAGACGGAAAAAGACGCGGGTAGTGGATAATCTGAGAATTTAATTAGGATTCGATATTTGTAATAAATAGTAAGCGATTAAAGACAACATCGTCTTATGTATGCAATGAATTCTCCTCTGACTTCCAAGACATGACGTAAACATGACCTGGTTTGATCGAATTTTAATAGCAGGGCATTCCTTCGCAATTACAATGTTTGAGAAGGATTTGAAGCATAATTATGACAAATTAATTAGTTTGAATATGTTTTTGGTCCATATATACCATTAAATCACCCAGTTTGTACGCGGGAACCCATTTTTAAAACAAATAACAAACACACATGGTTTATGTGAACTGTCATTTATTAAATGATGACTGAAGCATATAGGTTCTGACAGTAATTAAATGTAATTAGATTGCATTAAAAATATGTGCATACTAAACTGCTTATTAAAACTATCAAGCAAATACATTGAAGAACTGCATGCTTCTGAGGATCAACAAATCATTGGGCCGAATCGAAACCCATCTAACCGTCCAGACACAGCTCTAATCACACCTCATTTGCGCAGTTGTGCCCATATTTTCTTTTTTTAATACTTTTGGTGAGAAATATTTCATGTTTAAAATTTTAGACCAGAAGATTACACTATAGCTGAAATAGTGCAACCAGAAGAAGAAGTTAAGGTAAAAGATACTATTTTTTTTCCTCAATCTTTTCAATTTTAAACTAGTTTATAATTTTACTTGCTCTTGGTAAAATAAAACAAATGGATTTGAGAAAATTTGACATATAGTATATTTCTGACGTTCATTCAAGTCCCGAAAACTGTGTTAATAATAGATATTGTTTTTTTAGAAACCAGAAAAGGGTCCAGAAGATGAGAAAATGCAAGGTTAGACCCTATATTTAATTAATACTGCATTTTTTGTTGATTCAGTTGTTAGTAATTTGATTGAAATAATGTCTTTTTAAACAAAACCTTTATTGAACTTGTATGTATTCAAACTTACACTTATTACATCAACAAAATAGAAATTGTCTCTGTTATTATTTTTCTAGAAGTAACAGATTTACCTACTAAATGTGTCTCATCAACTGTAACCCTAGATGTAAATGCTAGAATACAGTATATTGATTTTGAAGGCCGATCTGATGGAGAATCTATGAGAAAAATTTTAGAGAGAGTCAAACCAAGACAATTGGTAAGTAGATAAGATATTTTTAGTCAAACTAAGACAATTGTTAAGTAGATAAGATATTTGATAGAAAATCAAACAAAGACAATTGAAAGGTAGATAAGGTATTTTAGAGAAGAAAGTTAAAGGAGCTAAATTGCTAATATTTTGGATCTAGAAATTGAAAAATATGGGTCGCAACGCATATAATAATGTAATGTGAATGTATATAAACTGATTTACATTCAATCGTTTTTGTCTTTACTGTAATTTCTAACCAGTTATGTTCGGCGAAATACGCTAGAAGAAGTTTCAATCGAATGGCAATCTCTAGCATCTGGTTATTCCAATCTATACCGATAGTATTTATTGCGCATGTTCTCCAGATAAGAATATGGCGTCACCGTTTGACATGACTTGTGGAATATTATCTAGCCTCTTTCTACGAGTCCCTTGTTAAAATGGCACTGAAATGCACCATGGTACACGATTCGTGTACCAACGGTAAAATGTTTATTTTGTCTTAATTATTGGATATCAGAAGCCTATCTTTTCCCCGTAAGATTACAACATCCATGTTGATTTAAATTGACAAATAATTCGTGTTTTCAATGTCAAAGATTTTGGAAGATATTGAGTTAGAGACTTAGCTACTTTAAATCAAAACAATTGGTAGGCAGATATATTTAATAGTGTCAACCTGAGACAATTGATAGGTCATTGTAGTAAGATGATAGATATGTTAGAGTCATGGCAAGATAATAGGTAGGTAGATATATTGTAAGATATGCTATTTTAGAGGGCGAAAAATAAAAATAATTCGTGGGTAGATGAGATATTTTAGAGAGGGTCAACCCAAGACACTTCAAAGGAAAATAAGATATTTTAGACTTAGAGTCAAACCAAAACAATTAGTTGGTAGGTTGATACATTGTAAAATGAGATATTTAGAGAGAGTCAAATCAAGATAGTTGGTATATATAGCAGTTATTTTAAAATGAGTCAAATCAAATTACTGTTATTATTCATTGAATAGTGCATTCATCAAAGACCATACAATGGAGTTATTCCTATATACTCTTATTCTTCTTTAATCTATATAGAGAGAGAATCAGAGTTTTGTTCAGTGATGGGATTTCGCCCATTCCGGACATGTCCGACGCTATTTTCCAAACGTCCTAAATTGTCCAAATTGTTATCATTTAGTATCAATTATTGTGTCACAAAGAATAAATCAGAAACAGTTATTATTTGTCATCTCGTTTTAAAGGATGAAAATATCAGATTAGCTCTCTGCAATGTAATCATTATAGCGTTACAATAAGAGAGATGACATGACAAAGATTGCTCAGCTGTTTAGACATTTTGCCAGGAAGTACTTAGTGAAGTATAAGAGGTTTCTACTATTTTTATCTTCAGGTTTTAGTTCGAGGTACACCAGCTGCTACTGAGACATTAGCCGAGTTTTGTACAAGTTCTTCCCTCATTCAGGGAAAAATATTTCAACCTAAAGTTGGTGATAGTATTGATGCAACAACAGAAAGTCGAATATTCCAGGTTTGTTTAGTTTGTTTCAATCTAACTTTTAACTTGATGGCTTCCAACAATCAAAATGAACCTGTTGGTACAAGGGAGATAATTCTGTTAGAGTAAATAAAAAAAAAATAGGATTGAGACACATAAATTGTTATTAACATGTTTCAATAAATTTGTGGAATTTTCGGCATATTTAAATTTTTAATTATCCAAATTGATATTGATAAAACTTATTCAGAATATCAAAGAGAATAAAAAGCAAGAGATGTTTGATGGAAAATGTTTATCTTTTCAGGCCAAATTACGAGATCATCTAGTGACATCATTAAATTTTTCTACAGCCCGTGATGTGGAATTAGCATGGATTGATGCCCAGTTGAATTATATAGAAAATGACGAACCAGTCGATTCAAATACTTTATTGGAGGAGAGGAATAAAAAAGGTACTGATAAGGAAAGTGTGTCCAGTCATACAGATGGGATAAAAAAAAAAGTCACTTGTTTATATCATTAAGCATGAATGTAAATAGACAATTTGAATTTAAAGAATAGTAGCCAGAAACACTGCTGCCCAGGCAAAAGTCTCCTCCTCGAATTGAAAATGTACTCATAAAAATATAAATTTTTGTGTGTTAGTAGTATTATTATGACAAAATGTTAAGTCTCATTCTGTTCTTATCATTTGTTTATATCTTGAGTTAAAAAAACATTGTAAAAAATGAATACATGAATTGTAGATTTATTCTTCTCATCTACCCTTCTATCTATATCATTCTTCTGAACCTCTATAATAACATGTGTATTAGTCCCAAAATAATCCACTTGTGTTGAGTGGACATTTAACTCCAGATTTTACTACTGTATAGAATTTGCATAGTTTTAACTACAAAATATGTGAGTCAACAAGGAATGTTTACGTTACGGATATTGATGGATTTATAGTGATTTCTTATTATTTTCTTAATTTACAGAAAAAGATTCGGAAATAATACCAACATTAGATTGTCTTCCATTAAATAAGGTAATATCATAGTTTATATAGTTCTATATGGGCATTTATTGTTGTAATCCCTTCCAAATCTGACAGACTTTGAATTTATACTATATTTGAACCATATACCTTTTATTTTAATTTTAAGCTAATCTATAATGAAAATAAATGTCAAGATGTACAATTTGAGTAAGGGTGAAACTCGATCAACTATACAACAACAAAGGTTTGGTTGTATAACTGCTATTGTTTAGAATTAGTACTCCCATAATTCAGCTACATTAATTGGCATATATAGCTGCTAGTGAATGGAATTGGTACTTCCAAGAGTTCAGCTATTTCCACTGAAATACTCTACTGTGGTTGTAAAACTGCCAATGACTGGAATTGGTAGTAATTTGGTACTTACACTGGTTCAAAATTGTTACATGAATTACACACAAATGATAGAAATAAACTAGAATGATGTAAGGCTAAGTTTACTTTCGAGTTCAATACATGACACTTGTCAAAGAGAGATAAATAAAGTGTCTGTTCAGAAATAACAAAACACCAGAATATAGTTACTATATATATATGTCATCAAATAATATATCCATATGTAGTGTTACCAAGTTTTTATGTACGGGTACTGCTCAAATATATATTAAATGAAGAAATGATACACTTTCTGTTTTCTAGGTACCAACACATACATCTGTATTTATTAATGAACCAAAATTATCTGACTTTAAACTGGTCTTATTACAAGAGAAAATACCATGTGTGTTCGTTGCTGGTGTTTTAATATGTGATAACAAGGTGGCAGTCAGAAGGGTTAGTATGATTTGAAATCAGTTTTATCAATAATGTTGCAATATAAGCTAATATAATTTTTAATTATTTGGACTTGTCGAGACTCGACTGGGACTCCGCAGTCACGACAAATGCTACTTGAAAGCGCTAAGGACTCAAGTCGATGTGATTAGACATAAATCGTAACTTGTATTATTTGCCATGAATTTGATGAAGACTTGCGACACGACTTGACTCAGCACTAAAGTCAGTGACTTGGAATTGAAGTGCAACAACTTGTAACATTGAATCATCTGAGTTTACGGAAATTCAAGCAGAGAATTTAATGCAAAATTTATTTGTAATATTTGGTTAATTACAGTTTTAATGTCTTATTTATAGACCATTTTATTATTCTATTTTTTTTTCTCTTGTAGAATAAAGCTGGAAAAATTCAGTTAGAGGGGACATTATGTAATGAATATTATCGTGTCAGAGAATTACTATATCAGCAATATGCTATTGTTTAAATCTGTATATAAATCATTGTTAATAAAACTCATTTGTCATATCATTATAATGTATACCGGTAGTTGATTTATATAATTAAAGAGGCGTTATTCAAGAGCTAATTAGACATTTATTAACATGACAAGACCATAATCAACTCTTGATGCCATCAGATGGCTCTGATTTTAAGTAGATTAGAACAGTTTGGTCATTTAATGATTTAATTTAAACATGGAGAAGAGAGGCTAAGACTCAAATAAACAGCACCGTGGTTACAATAATAAACAATCAATGCAGACATCTTGTCAAAACTACAAACAGTCATTATTTTGCTCAGAATAAAGTAATTTGAATGAAATTTTCAATGTATTCATTTTGCATTATCTATTTTTGAACTATTATACATGTAGCAAGAACGGCCAGATCTTTAAATCTTACATTATGTATCTTTTAAGATGATTTAGTATTGATATTATGCTGCTGATTATTGGCTTGGCATGGATAATCCACTAGTCATTCGGATGGGGAAAAAAATGAGGTCCTGTGAATATCATTGACAGTACATTAAAGATCCACTGACAGTTGGAAATCTGGGTAAAACTTGTATACAGGCCAGACAAATTAGTAGTTGGACTGACCATAAATTGCAATAGAAATTTACACCTGCATTCATTCAGATCGGATGTGACGGAAAACTGAGGTCCTGTGTATACATTGGTGTACACGTAAAAGAACCCTTGACAGATGGAATTCGATATAAGAGTAAGCCGTAGCGCCGCTGCCCGGGCAAAATTTCCCTCATAGCACACTGTATGCCATATGCCCATCATCATTAGCTCAGTCAGTGCAGAAAGTAAACTCTGGGCTTTAGCCCCATGTAATTAAAAAAAAATCATTCTACTAAGAAAATTCAGGGTCCACGAAACCAAATTATGGTATTCTAATGACATTATAAAGACTGCATAATGGAAAATGTGTGAGTTAGTTGTATTTTACATCCACTTCCACTGAGGTGATATCGCAGACAAGAATGGAAAATGTTCTCATTAGCATTATATAGCATCAAATTATTGTGCAAACATCTCCCACCATTTTGCCTGGAACAGACTCTCTCAACAAATTAGATATAAATTATGGAAAGAGAGAGAGAGAAATGGGGTTTAACGTCCACTCGACACAAACTGGTTCATTTCGGGACTAAAATATGGTTCAATTTTATTTCCCTAATTCGTTTGCGCGTAGGGGTCTTTAGCAATGGTAGGAAAATGGATGACCAGGAGAAAACCCAGGAGTTTGGACAGGCAACCCATTGTCACATACAACCGGGGAATCAAAACCAGGCCAGTTGACTGAAATGTTTACAAAATGAATGGAAGTGTGAATTATGCTGCCATGTACCCCAGGAGAAAGTGAAATATTGGATATGATATGTACAACATGTATATTTGTAAAATATCTTTCCTTGTTGGTAACTTTTTACTAAACTTTGGGCCTATTGACGAAACACCGTCCTGACGGTTCTTGGAGGTGATTAGTAAGACCACCAAGGAGGTAAAATCTTCTAAACACTACATACATGTGTATACCTTATTACTAGAGATAGACATACATGTATTTTTTTTTCAGCGATATGCATATTGACGAAAGCAACCTCGCTTAATAACTATTCATACCACTTTAACAAACGATTCGATCATTGTTGGTGTTAATATATGCTTTTTCTCGAAATACATTTTACATGTAGCTTGGCCCAGTTTGTCACAAATTCAGGTATAGCTATAAAAAAACAGCTTATTTTGTGTCGGGATCGTTTCATATTTCACTGGTATTAACTACATGTTAAAAAAAGCTATATGCAGGCATCGTTCGTGATAAAAGTATATTCAATTACCCCAACCCAATGGATATTTATAACTTCAATAGTATTCATCAGCAGTGGGTATTTATAACTTCAATACATGTAGTTGTATTCAGCAGAGGTGAAATCGTGTTTAATTTAATAACAGGATTCACCACCCTGGTTTCCCCTTACCTTTAAACGAAATTTCGTGTATACCATGGAACACGTTAAAGCTTCCTTGAAACTTTGAAATCTAAAAAAGAGTAGTCTGGAGGTGTCTGTATCAGGGTAAAATTTCCCTCATAGCTGTACATGTATATTGTATACCTGTCTTTATTATCCTGGAAGGTGTTGAAATTAAGACGCTAAAAGCTCGTGTCATTTCAACAATGGCATTTGATTATCCCTTACCGTAATCGTAGACGTTTTGGTAAGCGGAATTTAGTTGCGTCAATGTAGTTTTAGAGTTTTGGCAGATTTTAGCTACGCGTATAACGTATGGGTAGTTGAGCTGACCTTAGTTCTATTACAGCATGGTGGCAATTATCTACCAAGATCAGTACTAGTCATGTGCCGAACCTACAAATTACTAGAGGAGTGAAATCGCTAAACAGTCGCTGAGCTATTAAAAAAAAAATCTTCGACTTCGACTCGACAGCAATTTTTGGTTCATTTCAGAAAGTTTATACCCCTTTACCATAGAATCACATCATTAATAGATTTGCAAGGCCCCACCTCCCTAAATTTAGCAGGTAGATCAACCAGCATGCAGACAAACAGGAAAAATATGAAAATTCCGAAAAACTCATCAAAAATAATGATTAAACTCCCGTTTTTATCATGGTTAAAATTACATCAAATATGCACCTTCGGGTTCTAGGATACACATAGATTCAGCGTATAAAAAACCATGTTATACGGACCTTTTACGTATGAGAGCTGTCGTATCACGTATGAGAAATGCACACAAATCGACACGGATACGCGATTGGGACCAGAAATTTACCCTTGCCAAAAGTCTCTAATAATTCCATTCCATCCCATTTCAAATAGTGGGGGGGTTGGGGATGGTCGAATAGCCTATGGTTCGCCATTGAGTAGACTTGCCCACGTCGTGGGTTTTCTCTGGTTTCTCTGGTTTCTTCCCACTGCTATAGACACCTGCAAGTGAATTATTCAAATAAAAACTGTAGCATCCCCCTCTCTCCCCATCTCTCTCTCCCCAAAATGTTAGATGACTACTGATTTATCGAATATAGTACTGCGTGTCTCTTTAAATCTATAATATATTCAGATTTCATAATGTTATACGAACATTGAATTAATTGTATAGTGCACCGATAAGAAATATCAATAGCAGAATCAATAAATTCAATGACCTTTTCAAAAGGTATGAAAATGTGGGTCAGGTGTAATATTTATAAAATGATTCACTTCTTTTCAGGTGGCCAGTTTTAAAAGCAAAACGCCTTCATTCATACTTAGAAAGGGACGTAAATTCCGTAATATAAACTTTCATTGATTTGGTGGGGTGAGGAGGTGACATGTTAACCCCTTCCCTCAAGTATATATGAAAGAAGAGGGAGATATAAATGGGGTTTAAAGTCCACTCGACACAGATAAAATTGAACCATGTGCTAGTACCGAAATGACCTAAGAAAATAAATACAATTCATTATATGATATCAGATCGTCAATAACCTAATTATCGAAAATCGAGGCACATTTCGATTGAAATGCTTAACTCCAAGAAAACTACTAAAAGACATCACCGATTCGTGAATTAAAGAGTTAAAACGTCTGTATCTCAACAATGGCTGCGCCGATTTTGTCTTACATTTACACACAATCTAATAAGAACATCATCGATGTAGCTGATAGTCACCCACAACAAAATACAAGATATTAGTCAAATCACGTCATATCGAGATTAAGATCTTTACCATTCGGTCGAGGCTTCAAAATCACCAAGAAAATAGATGTAAGCAGGGGTGGATCGTGAGGAGGGGGGGGGGCTGGTCTCACGGTCGTGTATCTTTTATAATCAGTTGGATCTACTATGACGGATGGTCGTCTGACAAGCTAATTAGTCCTAATGAACGAGCTAGATATCGATGACATTATAGAACGGCTCACCAAAAAACTCCCGCGCCGCTTATTCTCCCCATTTGGAGTAATAGTGCAATACTCTATTTTATCTGTGCCCCGGCGTATTGGAAAAAATAAAATAAACGAATAGTTTATGTGATGAATTTTCATGACATTTTGGTTTCCGACACAGTCGCGGTTGTTTTTTTTTCTATTTCGCTCCCTTAAAGTTTCCTGTCAAAATCGTGGAGAACTGATTTTATTGCTTATCAGTAAAACTAAAACGTAGCGTAGTAGGTACATGTGTATAATATGTCTTTATGTAACATCTCAGTCCCTCCCCACCCCACACTCCAAAGATATATTGTCTCAGAAACCTGCAAAGCCCCTCCTGCAAAAATTACTGGATCCGCCCTTGGTAAATATTCGAGTAGTTATCGCAAGAAGTGGCCGACAAGAAAAGATATGTTTATATACATATTCCAGACTATCATAAAAATGAAATGAATTCATAAAATAAATTATAAATACAATTAAACTGATTTAATGGAATGAAAATGAAATGGGGTTTAACGTCCTACACTTCTGCTCCGAACTGGGCTAATGAAGACATGCATACGTCATGCAGTGTGCTATGAGGGAAATTTTACCCTGACAGCGGCACTGCGGTCTACTCTTATATCGAATTCCAATGTGTACACGGGACCTCAGTGACCTCGATTTTTCGTCCCATCCGAACGACTAGACAGCTGTCTTTGTCAGGTCCTCCGTCCCGCATCACTGACAAGGGGGAACCACGCCAGAAAATCAGGATGAACTTTCTCGGCCAATGCATGGATCGAACACCCGACCTCCAGGCCAGAGGCTTATACATAAGTCTTTGCTTCAGGCTAGTGAGTCAGCGTCTTACCCACTTAGCCACCGTGATCCCCGAACTGATTTCATAAGAAATTGAAAAGATTAGCTACATGTACAATTGAAATGAAATGAAATGAAATGGGGTTTAACGTCCTACTCTTCTGCACCTAACCTGGGCTAATTGAAGACGGGCATACGCCATACAGTGTGCTATGAGGGAAATTTTGCCCGGGCAGCGGCGCTACGGCCTACTCTTATATCGAATTCCAACTGCCAAGGGATCTTTTA